GAACACAGCAACTCGAAGACCAATAAAAACAGACCTAGACTCCCAGCCAATCAGGATGAGGGAAAAACCATTATTTGAAAGCAGAAAGCCAGCACCAAATTCAAACAAAAAACGGCTGCCAAGCCTGACACACAAGATTAAAAAGAACCCAATACACAAGCCTGAGGATGGCAGATGAGATTGTGCCAAAACATCACTACAATAAAAGCACAAATATTAAGATGTGGGAAAATAGCCGAAGAAACCTAAATACCATACACATACATATACATATACATATACATATACATATACATATACATATACATATACATATACATATACATATACATATACATATACACATACATACATACATACATACATACATACATACATACATACATATGTTTTCTTAAGTTTTCGCAGGTATTTATATGTATGGTATTCAGCTTTGTTCGGGTATTTTCCCACGTCATTATAGTTGTGCTTTTAAAGTTGAAGCAATGTTTCGGCAGAATCTCATCTGCCATCATCAGGCTTCTGTGTTGTGCTCGTCTGTGAGTCAGACTTTCACAGCCGTTTCTGTTTTAAATTTGGTGCTAGCCTACGCTGTGCCAGAATGTTTTTTTCTTCATCCTGATTGGTTGGGAGTCTTGGTTAGTGTTTATTGGTCTTGAAGTTTGCTGTGTTCTGCTTGATTGGTGTTTCTAATATCTTCTGTCTGTTTTGTAGCTTGTGTGTGTGTGTGTGTGTGTGTGTGTGTGTTTTCTTAAGTTTTCGCGGGTACTTACATGTATGGCCTTCAGCTTTGTTCGGGTATTTTCCCACGTCATAGTAGTGGTGCTTTTAAAGTTGTAGCAACGTTTCGGCAGAATCTCATCAACCATCATCAGGCTTGTGTATTGGGTTCATCTGTGTGTCAGGCTTTCACAGCCGTTTCTGTTTTAAATTTGGTGCTAGCCTCGTGCTTTGTTAGAATGGTTTTTTCTTCATCCTGATTGGTTGGGAGTCTTGGTCTGTGTTTATTGGTCTTGGAGTTTGCTGTGTTCTGTTTGATTGGTGTTTCTTATATCTTCTGTCTGTTTTGTAGTGTATTTGTGTCTTGATTGGCTGGCAACATGGTGTTTCATGTATTGGGGGCTTTCAGCGCAGTTTGGCTTCGGATGAATGGCCGGCTATCATTTATTAAGAAGCTAGGTTTCATCCGGGTGGCTGGCTGGGCTGTGTTTGGGCTGGAGGTATCAGGGGGGTCTGCTTGTGCCCAGGTGTTTGCTTGGCTTGTGGTGTGGAGATTTTTTTGTTTGTGAGTGCAGGCTTCCAGATCATTGACAGTCTGGTGGAATCATCTCTTCTATTCATGCTTTCAGGTCTTTTTTCAATCTCTATGGCTTCTCTCCTAATTCTGTAGCTGGGGTTTTCTATAGTGGCTAGGGTTTTGTTGCCATTGAAGTCGATGCTATGACCTGTGGCTTTCATGTGTTGGATTAGTGAGGAAGTGTGTTCCAGCTTTTTTACTGCATTTTTGTGTTCATCTAGGCGAGTACTGATTCTTCTATTGGTCTGTCCGATGTACGTGGCAGGGCATGATGTGCAGAGGACTTCATATATGCCTTGGTTTTCCAAGTCAATTTTATCTTTGGGGTTTCTTAGGATGGCTGCTATTTTTCTGTCTGTTTTGAAGGCAGTCTTGATGTGGTGCCTGTGTAGTATCTTACTGCTTGTGTCTGTTGTACCTCTTATGTAGGGCAGGACAGCTGTTCCATAGGTCTGTTCATCTTCTAGGTCTCTATTATGTCTCAGTGTGTTTTTGTGGATCAGGCCTGTGATTTTGCTTTTGTGAAAGCCGTTGGCTGTCAGTACTTTAGTCAGGGTGCATAGTTCAGTCTTGATGTGTGTCTTGTCTGCCAGGCGTTTGGTTCTGGCAATTAGTGTTTTGGCCACAAAGTTTATCTGTGCTGGATGGTGGTGGGATTAGGCGTTGAGGTAGCGGTTGGTGTGTGTTTTCTTCTGGTATATGGTGTGTCCTAGTGTGCCATCTGTTTTTTGTAGATTAGTACATCTAGGAATGGTATTTGTTTGTTTGTTTCCGTTTCCATGATGAATTTGATTTTGGGGTGTGTGCTATTAGGTGTGTTAGGAAATTGTTTAGGTTTTCTTTTCCATGGGGGCCAAATAACAAATGTGTCATCGATGTACCTTAACCATAGTTTGGGTTTGTGGATGGCATTTGCCAGGGCTCTGGTTTCGAATTCGTCCATGAACAGGTTTGCAATAACGGGTGACAGTGGTGATCCCATGGGGGCTCCTTCAATTTGCTTGTATCTTTGTCCTTTGTATATGGAATATGTGTTGGTTAAGCAGTGTTCTACTAGTTCCATGAGGTGTTTGGGTGTTTGGTATTTGTTTTTGATGATTTCTAGGGTTTCTTTTATTGGGACTTGAGTGAATAGTGAAACTATGTTGAAACTTACAAGCAGATCTTTTTGTTCCACGTGGGTAGATCTTTGATCATTTCTAAGAGGCGGTATGAGTTTTGTACATGTGAAGCTGCTGCTTTAGCATGGTGCTGTAGCTGCTTTGCTAGATATTTGGCTAGGTCTTGTAGTGGTGCTCCTCTGGAGCTGACTATGGGTCTGAGAGGAATGCCTTCTTTGTGTATTTTTGGGAGGCCGTATAGTTTGGGGCATTTGGAAGATTTTTCTCTTGGGATGATTCTTTGCTGGATCTCTTCACTGATGGGAGAGGCTTTTATTTTGGATTTGGTGGTTTTTTCCAGGTAGGAGGTGGGGTCTGTATTTAGAGGTGTGTAAGCGGGGTCTTGGAGTAAGTTGGATAGTTTGGATCATCTTTGTTCATGTTGCTGGTTATGATTTTCTTCTTGGTTATTTTTTCCAGATATGTGGTTGGGTACGTGTTTATGGTTTGTATGTGGAGTCTTGGAGTAGGTCTGTCAGTTTTGTTTCGTAGTCTTTTCTGTCCATTACTACTGTGGCATTATCTTTATCTGCTGGAAGTATGATTATGCTACTGCGTTCTTTAGGGCTTGCAGGGCTTTTTGTTCCTCTTTGTGTAAGTTGCTTTTGGGTGGTTTGCTTGTGCGTAGGATGTTAGTGACTTGGTGTTTTATTCTATCAGCTTCATCTGTATTTAATTTAGTTAGGCTGGATTCCACTCCGCATATGGTGGATTCTGTGAGGATTTTTTTGGGTGCTATAGCATAGTTGAATCCTTTGGTTAGGACATCTGTTTCTGTTTTGGTGAGTTCTCTGTTGGAAATGTTATATACTAATTTTTTCAGGTGTTGTTGTGGGTTATTAGGGGCTTATCATGTTCTAATTTCTTTAGTTTCTTCAGGAGTTTGTCATTTTTATAAGTGGTTTCAGTTTCAGCTCTCCAAGTTGTAAGTTGTTTTATCTTGTCCCAAAGTAGAGGGTGGATTTTGTTGCTCAATTCCAGCTGTTGGGTTAGGAGGTCTTTGTTTAACTGGTCAAGTTAGAATCTTTTACAGTGGAGCTCGTTCCTGAGTAGACCCATTTCAGTTCTTTTCCGGATACATTTGGTAGCTGCTGTGCTGTGATGAAATATTAATTTGAAGCAGATCAGTATTGCATTGTTATCTCTGCAGCTGTGTAGGAATTTGAGGTCACACGTATTCCTGCTCTTTTAACTTCCAGCTTCTCCTAGGTTTTGGTCCGGCTGTTTATTTCCTCCCCGTGGAGGTCTGATATTTGTTTTCTTAAGTTTTCACAGGTATTTATATATATGGTATTCAGCTTTGTTTGGGTATTTTCCCACGTCATTATAGTTGTGCTTTTAAGGTTGTAGCAACGTTTCGGCAGAATCTCATCTGCCATCATCAGGCTTATGTATTGGGTTCGTCTGTGTGTCAGGATTTCACAGCCGTTTCTGTTTTAAATTTGGTGCTAGCCTCGTGCTTTGTTAGAATGGTTTTTTCTTCATCCTGATTGGTTGGGAGTCTTGGTCTGTGTTTATTGGTCTTGGAGTTTGCTGTGTTCTGTTTGATTGGTGTTTCTAATATCTTCTGTCTGTTTTGTAGCATTTTTTTTGTCTTGATTGGCTGGCAACATGGTGTTTCGTGTATTGGGGGCTTTCAGCGCGGTTTGGCTTTGGGTGAATGGCCAGCTATCGTTTATTAGGAAGCTAGGTTTCAACTTTAAAAGCACAACTATAATGATGTGGGAAAATACCCAAACAAAGCTGAATACCATACATATAAATACCCACGAAAACTTAAGAAAACACACACACACACACATACATATATTATTTGAAAATGCAATATCTGAAGTCTTTCCTCTGAAAATACATATCGGTATAATGAAATGGAGCTAATGAAGAATTTTCAGAATTCAGATTAAAAAACCAATAAAAAAGTAAAAACAGTGTCCCTTATGCTCCATAAAAGCTTGTGAGCAGTACTTGTAAAAACAGGATGATGCACCAATCCCTCTGAACTTCTTAATGCCACAGGAGGCTATCATTTGATGCTGAAATATCACTGAAAGAGGTCTGTTGAAATGTGTTGCTATTTTTTTTTCACCTTTTAGGAGAGTTAAAGGATAAAAGATGGGAGCATAAATGTTTTATTTTTATTTTATTTATTAAATTTTTATCCCACTCATCTCCTCTATAAAATGACTCTAGGCAGCTGTTCCCAACAATATACTCCCTTTATATCCTTAAACAACCCACTCCCAAATTCAGCCAGTTTTGCTGAACCTAAGCTGCAAGATCTAAACATGCTGAGAGGATACAAATGGAATGCTGGAAGGTTACATATGAGTGCAAATTTGGATTTCTTACTTTGGTCATGTTTATTAAAACCACAGCATATTTCATGTGGTATTCTCTATTTAATGGAGATGTATTACTAATTTAATTCATTTTTATATTCTGATAGGTTTGTAGTTGATGGTCATCTGTTGTTATTCTTTCTGTATTATTAATTCAGAACCATAATATTATCATGCAACTGCTGGAGAAGAGAATCTCCTTAAACTATGAATGATGCTTCTTAACAGGTCATGTGAGGAAGACGATGAAACAGCTTTATGTCACCTTATGCTGAGAGGAGATGTAGGGCACACAATATGACCAGCGTGACAGGGGGTGAGCAGCACAGTCAGCAACCTCTATGCTGGCGGAGTCGCATAAAAGGAATGCTAGTGTTCATGGCATCAGCTAACTTGAAGACTTCTTATCAATCTCATTCTCCCCTTTCCATTTTAACATTAACATGAAGTGTCCTAACAAAAATTCTAAATTTCATAGTGCTGATTTTATAGAATCTAACAATAATTGATGATGCAAAGGAACATCTTCATTTTCTTTTCTTTTTAGAAAATATTCTGGATATTTCTTTTTCCTCCAATCCCTCCTCTTCCTTCTCCTCACTAGGTCTTCCCTGCTGTTTACAGGTATTGCTTGATTTACAGCTGTAATGGAGCATGCCCATTATAGTTGTAAATCATGATCATTAAGCAAGGTGCCCATGTGATCACTTCACGTGATCCCTGCCATAAAGCCAGCTCTTTTCATTATGATCACTAAGCAGAGCATGGGCTGCCTCAGGAGTGGGGAAAGCACTGGGTGGCCTTGTTCAGGCCCTCACTGCAGCATCTCTCCATCTCATGCATGGCTTTGCCCTGTTCCAGAAGCAGGTACCGTTTTGTCAATGGCCACAATTCATTGGCACCTGTTTCTGGGTTAGCAGCACACGACCTCTGTGTAAAAAGGCTGTCTGGAGTCTTGGCTGCTTCCTAAAGATCTATGGAAAAAATAAATAAATTGAGTTCTGATGGAGGTTGGGGAAGAACATGTGGAACCCAGTGGAGCAGGAAGCAGAGCAGAGAAGATAAGTGAAGAACTCCTGCAGGATTCCTGTGGTGGTTGTAAGAGCGGGGAGATTGTCAAATGCCAAAATTTTGCTGCAGGGCTATAATTCTGAACAGGGATTGATTGTCTCTTTGTTAAGCTCTGTCATAATTTTGAACAATCGTTGAACAAATAATTGTAAGTTGAGGAATATCCGTAATGAACTAGGTTAGGAATACTTGCTACAATAGTTTTTATGTAGCAGTATCAATGCATTTGACAATTTAGAAAGATGAGCATTAATCTAGTACCAAAGAGTTTACATTTCAAATTAGTTTGGAGGAGTTTTGTTATTATGGGAAGGATTACAAGAAATACTGGTGTATTAAGGCAAAGTTCAACTGGGAAAAATGTGCACACACTGTGATTAAAAGTACAGATGTTAAATTTTTAGTATAACAAATCTTTCTGAAATAAAGTTTATGAATTTCAAATTGGTTCTCCTTCCATGGACTTCTTAATGGAATGTTTGTGTACAATTATTATTTGAGAGACCTTGAAAAGTTGATTATAGGCACTTGACAAATGCTTGAGACAATTTGTGTCATGAAATGGCTTAGGCCACAGTTCAGACACAAGACACATAATAAAAAATAGGCATATGTACATGTACATACAAACACATACACACACAGTGATTGAGTGAGTGAGTGAGAGAAACTTTATTCTGAGGTTTATGTAATCCTTCTGAAATGTGTAGGTCACTTTGCGAGGGCTGATAATAAGAGGGATGTCTGAAGCTTGGTAATAAACACGTTCAAGAGTGAATTATAATAATAAAATAATAATAAAGAAATGGATAGCATATTGACATAAAATTGTAATTGTCAGTTGCTCTAGACATATACAGGTAGTACTTGACTTATGATCCACAATTGAGCCCAGAATTTATGTTGCTAAGTGGGAAAGTTGTGAGTTTTGCCCAATTTTACAACTTTTTTTGCTACATTTGTAAGTGAATTGCTGTAGTTGTTAAATTAATAATACAGTTCTTAAGTGAAACTGACTTTTCCGTTGACTGCTTGTCAAAAGGCTGCAAAAGATGACCACATGATCAGGGACACTGCAACTATCATAAATATGTATCAGTTGTCAAGCATCCAAACGTAAATCATGTGATCATGGGGATGCTGCAATAATTGTAAGTATGCAAAATGGTCATAAGTCATTTTTTTCAGTGCCATTGCAACTTTGAATGGTTACTTGATGAACTGTGGTAAGTTGAGGACTTCCTGTACTTCTATAATTCCAGCGAAATGAAATCTTAAATCCTTGATCTACACCCTCTCCATTCAGAATTCACATCAGACATCAGGACACATGGCTGTTTCATTCTTAAGGAAACTTAAGATTAATTTGCATTTTCTACAGGAGCAAAGATCTCTTGGAAAGTTTCACTTGGTAAAATATTTTGACAAATTCCTCCTTGTAAATTCTCAGACATTTGCAGCGTACCTGCACTTACATTTTCAGGAATCCTTCAATTTTCTCCATTCACCAATCTCTCTCCCATCTATGCCCTTTTGGCCTCTAATACTCCACAGCCCCTGTTGCGCTACTGACCTTCACCTTTTTTTTTCTCCTACTGCTGACTAAGCATGCCCAGCCTGGTCCTTTGCGAAGCAGCTACTGGCCACACAGTTTTCTGCCCCAAGTCATGCATGATGATTTCCACAGCCATGCTGCACCAAGAAGCCCTTTAGACCAGTAGTCGCCAATCAGTGAGCTGGGGACCACTGATGGTCTGTGACAAAATTTTGGTGGTCCACAGAGAAATGTCACCCCAAAGCACCCCCCAAAGCAATTAATGCAGGCTGCACAGGAATACCAACCTGTGCTGCCCACATGGTCCGTCAGAACACAAGGCTTGCATTGCTTGCATTGTGAACAAAATGAGGTAGTGAGGGGAGGGGGGAAAGGGTGGGGGGACTTGCCCACGCCTGGCCTGGCCACCGAGCTGCTTCTTTCCACTTCTTTCTTCATCTGCTTTTGGCTGCATGCAAGGGAAGCAGCAGAAGTCTTTCTTTCTCTCCCCCCAAGTCCACCAGAAATGAGTCTTTGGGACCCTGCAAGGCATCCTGCTCCAAGAGGCTGCGCCAGTACGACAAGTCTCACAAAGACTCATTTCTGGAAGAACTTGGGGGAGAGAAAGAAAGATTTCTGCTGCTTCTGCTGCATTCCTTGCATAAAGCCAAAAGTCCCCCCCCCCCCCGAGAATGGAGCTGGAGACGGTAACCTGTGATCCCAAATAAAGAATGATCAATCGGTAGGAAAATGGGGTGAGGAATTTTCCTGCAGACTTTTTTGGGGATTTTCCCAGGGTCTCTGGTCCGCGGTATTTAAACTTATGAGTTTGGCGGTTTGCAACCCCTGCTTTAGACCAAGCTGCTAGCTGGGGCAGGGCTTTGTGATGCACTGTGGTTTAGGGGCTTCCTACAGCTCCAGAGCTATGGCAAGAGAAGAAAGAAACCTCTTTGCACTGCATCGCTGGGTTGGATGTTGTAAAGACTTTTATGCTCTGTTGCAGTCCCAGAGAATATAGTGTACCAAGAAGCACCTAAGCACAGCGTAGTTAGCAGCCCCAGAGCTATAGAGTTTAGAGGTGTTTGCTGCCCCACAAGACAGAATGCAGGAAGGCCAAAAGGGCAGAGATGGAAGGGAGATATTGGCAGTGGTGGTGGGGTGTTGAAGTCAATCCCTTACATTATCGAGACTTGGGACTGAAAGACACCATGCCTAGAACAGCTTGAATTGAGATTCTCAGTGGAATTTGGTTAATTATGTCTATGGGAGTTGTTGGGATTACTATTGCAATGCAGTCTTATGAAGTTGCAATTTATTACTGGATCATTTAGCAACATGACTTAAATTTTGGTCCCAGTTGGGGCTACAAGTCAAGAACTTCCCATACTACCTTATTTGAGAATTTATGTTGAACTTCTCTGTATATTTTTGATTTTATTGTTGAAGACAGTGAAAGTTAGTCTTGTTTTTTTATTGCATATTTCCATCACTTTCAGATTACTCCTACTTCCTCAGTCTTAAAAAGTCTTATGGAAGAAATTCATTCATTAGGTGTTTTCTTTTTTTAATAGTTTTTTAATTTTATTTTGATACAAACAATCCATCATACATTAAACAGTGTGTTGTCTGGTACAATATTTTTGTGCAATAACCATTAAAATTTCCAGCCATAATCTTTACATTAATATTAATTCTCTACTCTTAAATTATTGCAAATATACATAATATGTCTGATTTTTATAACAGCCCTCATCACTTATTCACTTCTATAAGCATATTTTTTAATCACTAGTCTCTAACTTTCATATTTTTTCTATCAATAAAAAGATTCCCATATCATATAATATTCAGTTTGTTCCTTCTCTTTAATTACATTAACCAATTCATTTCTGCACATTCTAATATTTTATTTATTAATATTTTATTATTTATTTATCATGCTTTTATCAGTAGGAATCTTTTCACTTTTCCAATTCTGTGCAAATACAATTCTAGCTGCCGTTAAGACATGAATAATCAAATATACATTCTCTTTACTATAAATTGCATGCAAAGTGTGTGCATGCATGGAAAGCATGCCCAGCAAGCCACACCCACCGGATTGGTGGTAAAATATTTTGAATCCCACCACTGATTGTCTCCTTCACTTGCTCTTCTTCCAATTTAATGCTCAATAAGTTGTACAGTTTTTTAAATCAATCTTTCATCAGTTCCTGTTAGGATCTTATCCAATTCTGTCAGCTCTTTGTAAAAAACATATAGCTTTACATCTTTTTCATATCTAGACTGTATTTGCTGTTGTGAATACCAAGCTGTTTTGATCCCTTGTTCATTCAATTCTTGCTCAGTTTTGAGCTCACCCTTCTCATTCAAAATATCTTTTTAACTCACAGTATTTCCCATATTAATCATATTCGGATGTATAAGTGCTCCTATTGTCAAAAGCCAGACTGGTATCTTCAAATAGTGCTGATCTCTAATTTTATCCCATACCAACAATAAAGCATTTCTTATATAATGTCTTTGAAAGTAACCATGTATCTTACTTTTCCCATACCATAAGAAGACATGCCATCCCAGTTGCAGATCATGTCCCGCAAGGTCAATAGTCTTGTGTTTCTCAGCTCAATCCACATTTCCATCCATGTTAACACCGCAGCCTGATAATATAATTCCCAGTTTGGTAGACCAAAATCACCTCTAGTTCTTGT